TAACCAAATATTTTAAAAACTGTTTAGATTTTGATTTTATTTGAAAAACGGAAATTAATTATTAAAAAAGTAGTATTAATTAGTTTTTGAAGTCAAAATAAAATTATACCACTAGTGCTTAAAAAACGAAAAAAAATATTTCTACTTTCTTTCATATATTTATTCCATTTAATCGGAATTATCTCGTCACTTTTGCGTCCGAAAAAAAATGAAACTTTTCACCTTACTTTTCATCTTCTCCGCTTTTTTTCTTGGTGGTCGGTTCATACCTCAATTTTAACTATTGTAGCGGTAATTCTAATACAATGAAAAAGAAAAAAAAATCCTGCTTACTTTTCCCAACTCCTTAGCCTTGTTGCCGCGATATATAATTTGGTCACATTTGTTTTTATCTCATCCTATTTTCTGGCGGGAAAAATAATTAGTGGTGGCACTTTATTAGACTTGCAGTTATTCACTTGACATTTTGTTGCTCCTCTTTTAACCATTTTCTATTTTTACTTTTATGCTCAGATAGACAAATTAATTAAATCAAAAGCAAAATTAATAATGACTTTATCATTGGCTCTTACCTGACCAATTTTTTATTTTTTTTATATTTTTACTTTGGCTAAAATCAATAATAAACCAACGGGCAGTTTATCTCCCTACATGAAAAAGTATCCTTATTACATTTTCGAATGAATAGTTGAAAGAAGGTGATATATTCTTAGCATTAATTTTTTAATTGCCTCTTCAATCTTTATTTCTCTTTGTGTTTTAGTGCTTTGAACAAAAAACCTTTGGGATAAAAAAGTTAAAAAACTAGTTTAAGATGGAACTGTCCTTAGAGGAACTAAGAAGAAAAAAACTAACTAACCTGTCGCAAAGTCCTTTTCAACAAACTAAGTTTATCAGAACTAACAGTATTGAAAAGATTATTTACTCACTTTCTCAATTTAGTAAAGAAGAATTAGCCGAAAAGAAAGAAAAAGCAAGCATTGCAGGAAGAATACTAAGAATAAGGAACTTTGGCAACTTGACTTTCTCTAATTTAACTGACCAAACCGGAACTATTCAGTTAAAAATTAGTAAAAATAAAGAATTTACTGAATTAGATATTGGTGATATTATTGGCGTAAAAGGAACTATATGTAAAACCGATAAAGGTGAGTTAAGCATCGAAGTAGAAGAATTTACCTTATTAAGCAAATGTTTAAAACCACTTCCAGATATCCATTATGGATTTAATGATATCGAAGAAAGGTTTCGCAAGCGTTATTTAGACTTCATTATCAATTCTGAAAATAAAAAAATTCTGATTATTCGGCACAAGTTAATTCAAAGTATTCGCCGGTTTTTAGATGAAAAAGAATTCATCGAACTAGAAACGCCCATTTTAGTTTCTGAAGCTTCTGGAGCCCAAGCTAAACCATTCATTACTCATCATAATAAATTGCATCGAGATTTTTACTTACGAATTGCCACGGAAATCCCTTTAAAAACCCTCTTAGTAGGAGGATTTGAAAAAATTTATGAAATAGGAAGAATATTCCGCAATGAAGGGATAGATGCTCGCCATAATCCAGAATTTACCACTATTGAAGTTTATCAAGCCTATGAAAATTCTGAGCATATGATGAACTTAACCGAGAAGATATTTCATTATCTGGCCAAAGAAGTTTTGAAAAAAGAAGAGTTTGAGTTTAATTCTCATAATATTTCGTTAAAAGAAAATTTTAGAAAACTATCAATGATAGAAGCAGTTAGAGAATATACAAACATAGATCTTTCTCACATAAATAACCTAGAAAAAGCCTTAGAACTAGCCCAAAAACATAACTTGAAATTAGAAAAATTTCAAAGCAGTATTGGACAGATTATTTTGGCCTTTTTTGAAGAGTTTGTGGAAAAAAAGTTAATTCAACCGACTTTTATTTATGATTATCCGATAGAAGTTTCACCCTTAGCCAAAAGCAAAGTAAATAATAAAAATATCGCTGACCGGTTTGAATTATATATTGGCGGATTGGAATTTGCTAATGGATATAGCGAGTTAAATGACCCTATCGAACAGAAAAAGAGATTTGAAGAACAAGCTAAACAAAAAGAGTTAGGGAATGAAGAAATTGCTAGTTTTGATAAAGAATTTTTAGAAGCCTTGGAGTATGGTATGCCTCCGGCCGGAGGATTAGGGATTGGGATTGATAGGCTAATAATGTTGTTTACCGGTCAAAATAGTATTAAGGAAGTGATTGCTTTTCCGCAATTAAAAAGTAAAGAAAAATAAAATTATACTATGAAAAAATTTGCTGAAAAGGATCAACTAGAAGTTTCAGACATTAAAGAAAGAAAAAAAAGGATAGTGAAAGAAATCAAAAATTTTAAACTTTTCATGTGCTAAAAAAATTTTTTAAATAACAAGTTCTGTTCTGCTAGAGATTGGCCTTTCTGAACAATGAACGAACTCTATTTCTCGAAGAATATTTTCGATTAGATAGATTTGGTAATGAGACAAATGTAGCAGATAGTTATTGCTCAAAATGTGCTATTGATTTCTATAAC